ATATGATTTTCCCATACTTTTATTTTTGGATTTTTTCAAAAGCCTTTGAATTATGTCTTTATTTTTTCCAAAATGTTCTAGAATAACATTTTCATGCTCTTCTAACAAAATATTTCTTTTTTTCAGCTCTAATGTCATTGTTTTCAGTGAAGATATTTGCTTTTTCTGTCGCCAGTTATTCTTCTGTAACCTGCGTATTTTGTAGTTCTTCAACCTATCATTTTTTCGCAGGTCAGCAATCTTTCTCTTCAATATTTTTTTACGAGGCGAGTCTTCTTGAGGTGAAGTAGTTTCTGCTCTAACAGAGGGTCCTGGCATTATTGAATCATGGTCTGGTAATTTACTTCCCACATCTTCTATGACCCTTGTCACAATTGGATTACACAACCTTACCTAAAATAATGGAACTAAATATTAGAGATGTTTATGATTTTGTTTGTTCTGTTGTATCAATATAAAACAAGAATACAAAACAATTGAGAATTTTGATACGTAACAGCAAAAAACAAAAAAATTAGGTAACATTTAGATTATGGAATATGGAAAATATTAATTATCCAACTCTGTCGAATAATGTCTACTTGAGAAAATTAGCCTCCTCGAACTTGGGGCTTTCAGGCTAAACATTTCTTGCATGTCTTCAGAGCAGTCAATATTTGGAGTAAATGTACTTTTGTACATCCAGTATCTATTATTATGTCAACTATTTTTCTTGAAGTATTTTGAGTACCTACTTATAATAAATAAGTTTCTTGATTTTCTTTAAATAATAATTATTGCAATTTTTTTTTACAGTCCACAACTATGTATCTCACTAAATATCAAAATATGACAAACATTTTCGAATCTTGAATTAGTACAGGCACCTACAGGCTTCTTCCAATTTGCTTGAAATTTAACAAAGATATGGGCAATCACTCATCCCCATGTCAAGATTTTGAAAATTCTTCAGAGCCAAAAATAAAATTTCCTTTTTATTTTTGTTTTTGCTTGAAATGGCCATTTGGAAATAATGTCAAGGTAGTTGTTACCCAATTTGATCCACTCTATCGATTGGTAAAGTCAAAATTGAGCAAAACCAAAAATAAAAAAATCGAGGTTTTCATAAAAGTACCCCCTTTGAATTTTGATTTCAAAATATTCAAACCTCAACTGCTCGAGAACCGTTGAACAAATTGCTTTGAAATTTGTAGCTTTTGTAGCTCTTGATAAGTTCTAAAAACCCTGCAATTTACAATATTCTCAGGTTTATAGTTTTTGATCAAATCGAGTTTGAAGTTTTTGGAAAAATTTCGACTAAAATTAACCTTGAGGCTCAATTACTCAAAAACTATTTGATTTATCAAACTCAATTTTGCAGGGATTTTTAGAGAATTTATTGGTCGAGGGTGTCCCTTTTAAATTCTGATTTCAAAATATTCAAACCTAAATTTCTCGGTAACCATTGAGCAAATTGCATTGAAATTTTCAGCATTTGCCATTTTGTAGCTCTTATCAAGCTCTAAAAGATCTGTAATTTGAATTCCCAGGTTTATAATTTTTGAGAATTTTTGACAAAATTTAGACTAAAAGTTAACTTTGAGGCTCAATTAATCAAAAACTTCCTGGGCGATTAAACTCAATTTTGCACTGAATTATAGAGAATTAAATGCTCTTTCCATTGGTATATAATCTATTTTAATTTGCTCAAAATTAAACAAAGATTGCTCAAGACCTTTCAAGAGTTTGAAAATTTTCCTGAGTTAAAAATAGGATTTCCTTTTTATTTTTGTTTCTGTTTAAAATGGACATTTGAAAATGATGATGCTTTATCGATTGGGAGAGCTACAATAATTGAGCAAAAGTGAAAAATAAAAAAATCGAGCTTTTTATAAGGGATACCTACCCCTTCAAATTTTATTCCAAAATCTTAAAATCTCAATTGCGCGGTAACTGTTGGGCAAATTGAATTAAAATTTTCTGCATTTTTAGCTCTTATTAAGATCTTAATGGTCTGTAATTTGCAATATTCCTAGGTTTATAGTTTTCGAGCAAATTGAGTTTGAAGTTTTTGTCAAAATTTGGATTACAAATCAACTTTGAGGCTCAATTGCTCAATGGTATTTAATTCATTTCAATTTGCTTCAAATCTTACAAAGGTGTGGGAAATTGTTCATGACCATGACAAGATTTTGAAAATTTTCCAGAGCCAAAAATAGGATTTTCTTTTAATTTTTGTTTCCGTTTAAAATGGCCATTTGGAAATGATGTCGGAGTTGTTTTTCACTACAAAATTGAGCAAAACTTAAAAATAAAAAAATTGAGCTTTTATAGGGGTAATTTTTCTGAATTCTAAAAGCCAACTTTGAGACTTAATTGCTCAAAATCTATTTGAGCTATCGAGCTCAATTTTGCACAGATTTATAGAGACTTTATTGCTTTTTCCAATGATATATAATTTATTTAAATTTGCTCAAATATCCAACGAAGATCTGGGCAATTATTTCTAATCACGCCTTAAATAGTAAAGGCTGTAGGTATGGTCCTAAATATAATCAAATACCTTGTCTGTACCTATTTTGGAATCAGACCCCGCTTGATTTTCAGAACTGGGGTGTGATTTTCGAAACCATTCCATTCGAGTACATTTCGTATACGAAATTTGACTGACAGCAATGTAAATTAAATGGGGAGCAGTCAAATTTCGTATACGAAATGTACTCGAATGGTTTCGAAAATCGCACCCCTGAGACAGATTACAAAATTTTACTTGAATTGGCACACCTTATGACATAAAATCGAGCCAAAAATATGAAAAATTTCTAAACACCACAAAGAATTGTCTTGCTTCGATCAGATTTCAGATATTTGATTTGAAGTACCAAAATTACTTCAAGTATTACTTCAAGTAATTTATTTAAAGTATTTTACATACCCACTTCAAGTACTAAGAAAATATACTTCAAGTAATGCCACTTTACTTGAAGCTCAATGTTTTTACTTAAAGTAAATTACTCGATGAAATTCAAGTAAATTTAAAGTTTACTTGATAATCAAAGTACCTATAATCTTAGAAAACTTGTACTTGTACTTCAAGTATATCTATAAAATATATTTACTTTATACTTGTACTTCAAAATGTACTTGTTCTGGCTCTGCATGTCTTATACATATAGCACTACCCATTAATCTACTAAAAAGGATTAAACTACTCTGAATAGCTTAACTTACATATTTCAAACGGTCCACTTCAATTGTTGGAACAGCATTTGGTTGTAGTCTCACTTTCAGCTTGGATGATCGATCAAAACAATCCTCAGAAAAATGACGAGAACATAAAACACTACTGTTTTTTGGTGAAAATTCAGGCGATTTCACAAAATCAACCCATTTCGTCCTTCTATTTTGATTTTTAGGAAAGCTAGAACAAAGATTATAACTTTTTTACCATTATTATAAAATCATAACAGAAAACCAATTATTATTTTCACCTTTGGTGCAATTTTGTTTAGACAAACCTAATTTTTTCCCCAAAAATGTTGATACCCAAACTAGCACAAACATAAAAATTAAATAATTACCCTAAGCTACGCCTATGCATTCGCATTGATTTGTAGGTTAGGTAACCTTCAATGTCAAAGAAATAAAATCGGCTTTTTTTGTTAAATATTTATCAAATTTAAGGATTTATAAACTCTGACGTCCGCGCCCGCGCCCGCGCCCGCGCTCAACATAAATGAAGCAGATCACGAAGTTTGATTTATAAACACAAACGCCCGCGCCCGCGTTCGAGTTCGCGCCCGAGTCCGCGCTGGAGATGGCCAAGTTTTATCTTCGACGCTCGCGTTCGAGCGCCTGGCCAATGAAAACAGGTTATTTGACATGATGCGCAACAACCAAATTTTTAAAATTTTGAACCTTTCTATTGTTGTTAATTTTGTGAGTCTTTTTTTCAAATTTATTTCAAATAAAAATAAATCAAATAAACCATTGACTCTGAGCACAAAATAAACAGAAAAAGAATGAATACGAAAAATATTTTGAGGTTATGTCAAATGTTATCAAAATATGCGGGCCAATCACACTGCAGCAACAAAGGACAGTCAAAAAGTTTATAAATCGTTTCCAACGCGAACTCGAACTCGGGCGTGAGCACGAGCGCGGGCGCGGGCGTCAAAGTTTATAAATCCAGCTTATGGCTTAAAAACACTTACCTATGAAAGGTAACACCATCATTTTTATGTTTTGGTGTCAGGGAATAACCACAAGATGCACAACTAACCATATTTCTCGTAATTTTCCCACTAATATGTTGAAAATGTTTACCAATTTTATTTAAATATGATTGTCAATAATATGACAAGATTATATACATTAAACCACACACAATCGCTCTTTTTGCGCTAACCTCAGTGTTTCTTATCACAAAACCGCTAAAATCCATTAAAATTTCACTTTATTGAGAACACAGCGAACCACCAAAACAAATGATGACGTCATACTTGGAGGCTCAATATGGCCGTTTCCGTCCCTGCCTTTACAGTGACAGATAGAAAACGCTCCTTCCTGTAGGTTCCCAAAGGTTTGAAACGCAAAAGTTAGCAGCTCTCGAAGCGCAGTACGGCTGGAACACGAACATGCGCTTGAAGCATTTGCGCGTGCAAAAGCTCGATTGCGTGCTCAAAAGCGTCGGCTGGAAAGCGGCTTAAATGATGCTGATTCTGATTCAGGACGATATTCAGCATCTGTCTTCGGGTTGATTCAGGTCACGAGCAAAATTTATCATGTTCGGGTTTCAGAGCTTTGATCCATTGAATTTGATGGAGCAAGAAAGAGCGCTCCGTGCGAGATTTGAGAGCGTCGGCTCAAGTGTGAATCTCCCCGAGAGTAGCGCACCGATTTAACCGAATATGTGAAATCGTTTCGAACCGCTTTTTGATCAATCGGGTGCAGTTTTGAGACAAAAATCGAAAGCGCTATGACTTTTGTAGAATTGTTCAGTCATGATGAACATCTGTCACGGATGACTGAAAAGCCGTTGGAAATTGAATCGTTTCGACCAACGGATTTTCTTTCTCTTTGAATGAATAGTTTATAGAAACTTTAGTGTTTTCCTTTAAGTTACAACAAATTAATAGTTATTAAACACGCGTAAGTAATATAATTAATCAAATCATCATTTATAAGCCATTTTAACATTGTAGCCGTTTCTGACCATATCTTTTAACCTTAAAAGTATCCAAATTGCAATAACTATGGCTTTAAATTTTAGTCTTTGCCAAACCATGAGCGATTCACAGTTTAAAACACCATTGTCCCATCATACGAAACAATCCAATGATGCTGGATACACACCAAGGCCAATGATTGAGAAATCAGACAGCGAAGAAAGTACAAATTCAGAAGGTTCTTATGGTAAGGCTTGAAATCAATAATACAGACCTAGTAAATACAACCAATAATTCGATTTAGGTTCTACCAATGATTTGACTGTAATTGCCCTGTTCGATGACCTTATCCGCCTGTTTCGTTACAAACGTGACAAAAAAACTGAGGAATCATTCTTAAATTTTGCTGAAGAATCCAAACTAATGTTTGATAAATATTTGGAAGCAGTGCAAGAATGTCAGAGATTGCGCCTTATGTTAGATATAAAAGTGCAAGATGGCATTGAAACTGAACGCAGAGTGAACACTGCTAGGCATTTTTTGGACGAGGAAAAGAAGAAAACTCAGAGAGTGCTCAGAGAAAAGGAGGAATTGGTATTTAATGGTCCTATTTTGTCAAACTTTTTCTAATTTTCATTATTTATAAGGAAGAACAATTGGATCAAGTTAGGGAGCTTCTTTTTAAAGATAACAGAGTAAAAATTGGCGATGATGCTAAGGCAAAACTATCTTTTCTTAATAATAAAGCTGATAATAAGCATGGCTATAATAACAACAATTTAAGTTGTATTCAGGAAATAAATTCAACAGGTAAGTAGGTACTTTATTTGCATTTTTATCTAAGTATTTATAGTTTTTATATCGGACTGGCAACCACAAATAGGAGTTAATTCATAAACTAAAACAATGTTGTTATTATTTTTTATAATTTTTCATAATACAATAATTATATTAATTTTTGCAATAGGTTCAATGTTGTCAGACTATAGTGTATCCCGCTCTGAAGATGATTTGGATTTATCTCGACATGGCAATCCAAAATGGAAAAAACATAGGGCTAGTACTGGAGGGGATCCACCTCCAAAAAAACGCAGATCATCCACCAATAAAGTTATCGAGGTAAGAATGTTTTTTTTTTTTTTTTTTTTTGTCGAGCACATATTTGACTTTGAATCATCATCTTTAAATTTTTTAAGTAAATAATTAATATAAAAATTTGAATTATGTATTTTGTTAGCTCATATATTAAAGTATTTTCAACTTTAAAAGGATCAGTTTTGTTAGTGTTGAATAATACATAGGTACAGGGTGATCTATTATAAATGTCACCCTCTCCTAACTTTTTTATTCGACGTTTTTGACGGAAGTGTCACATACAAAAGTTTCAAGAAATTGTCAAAAGTTTTTAACTAAAGCCATATTTTTGTCCTCAGCATATTCGATGCGCTCCAAATACATTCCATTTTCTTATTAAATACATACCTCACAGTCGGTTTGTATTGAAGCGTATTTGAAAACATCCCGAACGTGTATTTGAATACATAATATGGAATGTCAACAATGTCAATTCCCCTTCAACCTCATTTCAATGATATATGGTTCGATATGTTTCTCTTCAATAGTTACAGGAAAAAACGCGAAAATCCTTTCCTAGGTCTCATGTAATTTTTTTTCTAAATAATAAGTCATCTGGATTATTATAATATTTCCCTTGTAATTGTAATAGTAGATACTATTAAATAAACCCACAACTGGAAAGCCCCTGGTCCAGACCAAATCCAGAACTTTTGGCTAAAACATTTTACTTCTACTCATCAGAAATTGACAGCGGCTGTAAATAATGTAATTAAGGAACCTCAGACAATCCCGGAATGGCTAACTTCTGGAAATACTTATTTGATAGCTAAGAATAAAGACACAAAAGACCCACAAAATTACCGCCCAATTACCTGTCTAAACACAATGTACATAAAGTGAACACCCCCTACCTTTTCGGTAAAATTTTTTTTTTTGAAAAAATCAAGATAGCTATTAGGGTATTTTGTTTCTAGGAATTTGAAAACGTTTTATGAAATTTAATTGGATTTTTCGTTAAAGCGCTGTGACGACAAAAGTAATTTTTTTAAATGGAATAACCTATATTTAAATTCATTTCTTAAACGCCCTTATTTTTCTCATTTCAAATATATAGTTTATTTATCTTTATTTTAGTCATTTGGAATATATTCTCACTCAAGAATCTTAAGATTCAAATAGAAATAGCCAAAAAGGTATCAAGGTAAACCTAAATAATTTTACCTTTAATAAAACCTACTGGTTTTATGATACCTTTTTGGCCATTTTTATATGAATTTTGAAGTGAGAATATATCGCAAATTACTAAAATAAAGATAAACAAACTATATATTTGAGATGAGGAAAATGGGGGCGTTCAAAAAATTGATTTGGATATAGGTTATTCCATTTAAAAAAATTACTTTTGACGTTACAGCGCTTTAACGAAAAATGTAATTAAATTTCAAAAAACGTTTTCAAATTCCTAGAAATAAAATACATTAAATGACTATCTTGATTTTTTCAAAAAAAATTTTTTTTTAGCGAAAAGGTAGGGGGTGTTCACTTTATACTGGATCACCCTGTACAAACTCGTCACCTCAGCAATCACCAATAGAATTTACAATCACTTAGCAAAATACAAACTACTCCCTGAAGAACAGAAGGGATGCTGTAAAGGAGCGAGGGGATGCAAAGACCAACTACTGATAAACAAAATGATCACTATGACGACTAAAAAGAAGAAGAAAAACCTTGGAATGGCCTGGATTGACTATAAAAAGGCTTACGATAGTTTACCACATTCATGGATAATACAAGCAATGGAAATCTATAGAATCTGCCCTCAAATAATATCATTTATAGAAACTTCAATGAAATCCTGGAATACCAGCCTGTTGTTGTGGTTTGATCAGGGCAAATTAGAAACGGAAACGATAAGAATTAAGCGAGGTATTTTTCAAGGTGATTCCCTTTCCCCCCTTCTTTTCTGTATTTCCATGGCCCCTATGAGCAGAATTTTGAATAATAAAGATGTTGGATACTGGCTAAGCGCGAACCACCGAATAAGTCACCTGTTGTACATGGATGATTTGAAACTTTTTGCTAAAAGTGATAGCGAATTAAGTCAATTAATAAGCATTGTAAAAGCATTTAGTGACGATATTGGAATGAAAATGGGATTGGAAAAATGTGCTAGGCGAGGGGTAGGTCACTCCCCAATTAGGTGTACAAATGTTGAAATGTAATTAGAAAAATACATTTAATTACCTCAATTACCTTGCAATTACCTTCAATTACATTTAATTACCTTCAATTACATTTAATTACACTCAATTACATTTAACTACATTCAATTACATTCAATTACTTTCAATTACACCCAATTACATTCAATTACGTTCAAATACATTTAATTAATTACATTCAATTATGTTTTAATTACATTCAAATACTTTCAAATACGTTTAATTACATTCAAATACGTTCAATTACATTCAAATACTCGCAAATACGTTCAATTACATTCAAATACTCTCAAATACGTTTAATTACATTCAAATACTTTCAAATACATTCAATTACGTTGAAATACTTTTAAATACATCTAATTACAATCAATTACTGTCAATTAGATATAAATACATAACCTTTTTATCCTTCATCTTTATTTCCAATAAAACAATCGACCTTACAAAAAATAAAAGAACATTTTGCTGATAAAGCTGAAAACCAACCAAGCAAACGTAAGCGCTATTCTCAAAAATCTGAACATAAAAGCAAAGAATATAAAAGTAAATTATGCAAACAGAAAAAAAAAACACGTGATCTTTCAAGTGACGAAGACAGTTTATTTGATTATTCATTGCACGATAGTGAGTCAGGCTACGACATTCAAGACATTTTAGAAGAAGAGGAAATGAAAGAGCAAGAGCAAAGGGAAGAAAATGTAGAAATTGATGAAATATATAAATCTGGATCATGGGTGCTTATAACCTACGTTGGCAATAAGTCAGTTAAGCGCTATGTTGGACAGACAATAAAAATTAACAGCAAATACCTAGTTGTTGAATTTTTGAAGAGACAAAATAATGTTTTTATCTGGCCAGACAAAAAAGATATATATTGTGAAGTTTCTCGAAGCTATGTATATATGGTTGTTCCTGAGCCGGAGTTCAATAAACGAGGCCATTTACAATTCCCAGTGGACTTCCAAAATTTGAATGTTTATTAAAAGTTAATAAAAAAATACACTGATCAAAACGAAAAAGGAACAACTTTAGATATTAAATATAATTTCTTTATTAAAATAATTTCTTTAAAAAATACGAACATATGCAGAAGCGGCTCCTTTTTCGTTTTGCTCAGTGTATATGAATATTATAAACGTAATAAATTCAGTGTTTAATCAATGAGAATAGTTCTTCTTTAATTTCAGAATTTTCCTACTAGGCTGTTACGACCTGAGTTACTCCCTAATTAAGTGAACAGATGGTAAAATGTAATTGAAAAATACATTTAATTACCTCAATTACCTCCCAATTACGTTCAATTACATTCAATTACATCCAATTACATTCAATTAGGTTCAATTACAATAAATTATATTCAATTACAGTCAATTATATTCAATTACAGTCAATTATATTCAATTACATTCGATTATATCCAATTACAAACAATTACATACAAATACATTGTATGTGAATGTATTTGTAATTAGGTGTACAAATTTTATCGAGTGACCTACCCCTCGGTGCTAGGGTATATATAGAGAAAGGCAAACTAATTTCAAAAAAAAACGTAAGACTAGATCAAATAAACCTCATCAGAAGTCCAAATGAAAGTCTCATCAGAAGTTTAGGTGTAGAAGAAACATATAAATACCTTGGGATGGAAGAATCTTATGGTTTACATATGAATCATGTTAAACTTAGACTTCGCAATGAATATATTCGACGAATACGAAGCATTCTTAAAACAGAATTATCTGCAGAAAATAAATTTAAAGTGATAAATACGTTAGCTGTGCCTGTCTTGAGATATAGCTTTGGAATTATTAATTGGCTGAAGAGTGAAACCAAACAACTAGATAGAACAACCAGGAAGAATTTAACAATGGGAGGCATACATCATCCTAAAGCAGACGTTGCTAGAATATATATTAAAAGGAAAAGTGGAGGTCGCGGCCTAATAGAACTAGAGGCAGCTTTCGAGGAAGAAATTACCAGATTAGCAGAATATATGAATAATTCTAAGTATGAATATGTTACTGTAGTAAAACATTACGACGATCAGCAACAGAAATACTTACAAAGGAAAATGCCGCTATTAAGGAAAAATATTTACCAGCCGGACAAGACAACGAAGGTAACAAAAGAGTCAAGCCTATAATAGAAAATAAACGTATCGATGAACTTCGAAGCAAACCTCTACATGGACAATTCTTCAAGCAACTAGAAAGACCGTTAGTTAATAAAAATGCAAGTATAGCTTGGTTAAAGAGTGCAAGTTTGAAAGGGGAAACAGAAAGTCTAATAATTTCCGCTCAAGATCAGGCATTGAATACGAGATATCTGCAAAAAAACATCTTCAAACAGAAAGTTGATAGCAAATGTAGAATGTTTGGAAAGGCTGAGGAACATGTGAGCCACATCATAGCGGGATGCTCAACATTAGCACCGTCAGAATATACACATAGGCACAATAAAGTTGCGGATTATATTCACTGGGTTATATGTAACTATTATAAATTTAATGTTACAGAGAAATATTACCAGCACACCCCTGAAAAAGTTGTTAACATTAAATATAATGATCTTGACATCACAATATTATATGATGTTCCTATCAATAGTGACCGAAGCATTAAGGCAAACCGACCTGATATTGTAATCCATGATAAGAAATCTAGATCATGCCTATTAATAGATGTTGCAGTACCTGACGACATGAATATTGCAGTCAAAGAAGTTGAAAAACTAAGTAAATACAAAGATCTGGAAATTGAAATATCTAGAATGTGGAATGTCAAGACAAGGGTGCTTCCTATAGTGATTGGAGCA